ATCCCCCTAATAAGCTCTCCAGATACTTAGGAAATAGTAATTAAGCGTCGCACCTTGAATTGTGGGACAGGTAAATGAATCAATCCCTTTGCACTGATGATGGAATAGAAGGAAAAATTTAAGAGTTTAGAAATTACTGTGGCATGTCAAAATCACGTTACCATAAGTATCTGCATAAGGAGCAATGAAATTTGAACTCTGAGATCACAGATATTTCATTAGAAGTCATATTAAGTTTTGTCAGCAAGCTATAAAATATATTACCAACCATTCCCTTTGGTTTCCTTGATAATATTGTAGATATAAAAGTTAATAACGGTGATTCGTCGACTAAAAATTGTTCTTCACGTTTTGTGTCATATAGGGAAGGCACCAAAGAAGACTTACCGGTAATTATTTATTTTTATTTTCGATTACAGCTTGATGTCACACCATATTTTCAGTACAAGTATGGCATTTCCAGCATGGATATCGCTAGCCCAAATTTTGCAGGCCGAACATAGATATCGGGTGTGCGTCGGCGGGGGATCGAACTCCGAACCATGTGCATGGTCGGCGAGAGTCCTAACCACTGTGCCACCGACGCCATGGGAAGTTTCTGTAATGTACTGTAGTATCCCTACTGAAAAAATATGGTCGAGTGCATCTGTCAGTCTTTTCCAAAGAGTTTCTGTGGTAAAAATTGCAATGCTGCCTCTGAGGTGCATGTGGTTCTGCTAATTTTAGCGTCGGTAGCATAGTGGTTAGGACTCTCGCCGACCATGCACATGGTTCGGGGTTCGACCCCCTGCCGACGCACACCCGATATCTATGGTCGGCCTGCAAATTTAGGCTACCGATATCATATGCTGAAAGTTCCATACTTGTACCAAAAATACTGTGTGGTTTCAAGCTATAATCAAAAAAAGTTTATTGGTTACTTAGATATAGTGGTTTGCTTGGTTAACTACATGCTGGGCCTCAATATCCACAACCGTTGGTCAGGAAATCCATTTTTCCTATGAAGGATAACTGATTTTCGATAAAATATATAGTAAAACTCTCCGGGACAGTACATTAGGAAGTCACTTCAACTTATACCTCATCTGGCTTGTAGTAAATTTAACAAAGCCATCAGGCAAATGGCTTACAACAGTGTTAATAGGTAGACGGTTTCACGACATTTTACTTTTAGGTAGACTACTCCCAATTGCAAATAAAACGTATATGTGTAGACAGGGGTCGGGGTGACCAGAATAATTTCTTGATACAAATGACATAATACAATTACTGTGTAGCGGTAAATAATTCCCCAAAATTATTAACCACAGCAATCATCACTCAACATTGGATGCTGACCATCACTGTTTAAGTCGACTTGTTTAGCTGAAGGCTTACGGTCAAGCATCCCCGCCATTTGGTGCTCCGTCGTGTCACGTGCGTGCACGATTACTAGCTAGCTAAGCATTCATTCCTACCCGCGATTTGGTCCCAAAATATATATCGTATTTGGACGACAAAATCTGGTCTTTTGCTTTACCATTTGGTACTCGAAGAACGAACACTATAGTGGTTGTTGGTATAAGATCTTGCGTTAGTATAATCCGTACAACTCGCGAACGTTCGATACCTACACTCCCTAAACTGGTGAGCCCAACCTCGAACTTCATCTTCAATTCACACGCAGATAATCCCGGTGAGTTCGTTCCTTTTTGTGTTTATTCTTGTACTATATTGTTATCGGCACACTTTTCGTCATGAGTGATCCTAGCCCCAAGGTTATTCAGATTCGCTCAACCGCCAAAACAATTCAGCTAGTACCATTTTGGCCAGATAATGCTGAAACGTGGTTTCAGATTGCTGAGTCCGATTTTTGTGAACATGGCATAACTGATCAACGTTCACAGTTCCTTGCAGTTATTCACACTCTACCGCGGGAATTCAGCAGGTGCGTAACTCTGCAGATGTCGGTAAGTAACTCGTACGAGTTGCTCAAAGCATCCATACTCAAGAGAAACGTTCTCACAGATCGACAACGTCTGGATGAGTTATTTCGTAACATCGAGTTAGGAGATCAGTCAGCCGTGAGCATGCTGGCAAGAATGAAAGAGATCATTGGCCAAAGTCAGTTCGATGAAGGACTGTTCAGAGAACTATTTTTATCCAAACTGCCACAGTCAGTTCAGACTGTACTTGTGACACTTCAAAGTGTTCTCATAGATGACTTAGCTGTCTCTGCAGATAGAATTCTAGAGATAACGAAACGGCCAATTACCGAAGTATACTCTGTTACCGAACAGACTTCGAAGAAGGATTCTGCAATGATAGAGTTATGCAACTCCGTCCAGCAGATGCTTAGGTCAAACAAGCCTAGCAATTCCTCAAACCGTCGTTCTAAATCCCCTCAACGGCAAAACGCACGTGGACGATCTAAGTCCAACACACGTTCTCTCAAAAATCCTGACTGGTGTTGGTATCACAACACCTATGGCAAGGAAGCGAAATGTTGTCGAAAACCTTGTGATTTCGGCAAAGCCTCCAAGTCTGTGGGAAACTATCCCGCCGGCACGCGTTAGCGGCAACCGTCGCCGGTGGCACTAGCCGCTTACTTTACATCCATGATGTAATTAGCCAGACTAGATATCTAGTCGACACAGGCGCCGAAGTCAGCGTCCTTCCTGCTACAGCAGCAGATCGACAGAAGGACCCTAACTTCAACCTACAGGCTGCAAATGGAAAACCAATTGCAACCTATGGTCGGAAATACGTCTATCTGAACGTAGGTTTACGCAAACCTATTCAGTGGATTTTCCTAATCGCTGACGTCACAATGCCCATCATTGGCACGGACCTACTTAATCATCATGATTTGCTCGTAGACGTCCGCCGTAAACGACTAATTGACAACACTACTAGTTTGTCTATCAAAGGCATAACTTACGTAGGCCCAAGCTTGTCAATCGTTAAGATGAAAGCAATCCTCGATCCAACTTTTCAACCGATTGTTGACAAATATCCGGAACTTAATTGCCCATCTAACGATCTCCCGTGCATAACCAGCAATGTTATGCACCACATCATAACCTCAGGACAGCCCGTGACATCTAAAGCACGACGACTGGCACCTGATAAACTGAGAATTGCCAGAAACGAATTCGATCATATGCTCACCCTTGGCATCATTCGGCCATCGAATAGTCCATGGGCATCCCCATTGCATATGGTACCGAAAAAGGATAGTAACGATTGGCGACCCACTGGTGATTACCGGCGAGTGAACGCCAAAACAACTCCTGATTGCTACCCTTTGCCTCACATACACGACTTGACGGCAACGTTATCTGGAGCATCTATATTCTCCAAAATCGACTTGGTTAAAGCATATAACCAAATCCCGATGGCAACGGAAGATATTCCGAAAACGGCTATCATCACGCCTTTCGGACTTTTTGAATTCCTACGTATGCCATTCGGCCTCCGGAATGCGGCCCAAACATTCCAACGCTTCCTCAACGAAGTATTTCGCGGTCTCGACTTTGTATACGCATACTTAGACGACTGCCTCATTGCCAGTCCAGATAAGGTAACTCACCTTAGACACTTGGACTTGGCATTTGAAAGGTTACGCCAACATGGTGTTACCATCAATATACAGAAGTGTCAAATAGGCGTTGACTCACTCGATTTTCTGGGTCACACTATTGACTGTCAGGGCATTCGCCCACTGGCTACTTCTGTCGATCACTCTAAGAAAACGCGTTCTGGACGTCACGTTAGATTCCCAGAATACCTCCACACCTATTTCACATAACTGAGTGACACATCAATTATTTTTTATGTTGCGTCATTTAACACAAGTAAATGATATTTTTCCTATAACCGTACATAAAATTAAATTAGATGTATATATTTTTTTCCCGATATTTTGCACTTTACATTATTTTACTGTATAGTAGATGCATGTCATATTTTTTTTGGTAAAAAAAAACGCTTATTTGGTACATTTTTCTTGACAAGGTTCTCAGCATTCTTGTTTTCTTTTCCAGGTGCAACGGGCACTGGATAGGAAACAAACGAAGCACGGGATCCAACGAAGAACATTGAGGAAGCTATGTACAGACACCCTATTAGCATAGGCAGACAGACCAGCAGGCTCTCCATCAAGCCGCTCGGAAGAGTTTTTTCACCCATCAGGGAACCATCGAGATTTTTTTACTTCCGGCTGGTCATGTCTCAGGGTCCTCACAAACCCACTAGGGGGGGAGTGAGCTGTAGCGGTAAATAATTCCCCAAAATTATTAACCACAGCAATCATCACTCAACATTGGATGCTGACCATCACTGTTTAAGTCGACTTGTTTAGCTGAAGGCTTACGGTCAAGCATCCCCGCCATTTGGTGCTCCGTCGTGTCACGTGCGTGCACGATTACTAGCTAGCTAAGCATTCATTCCTACCCGCGATTTGGTCCCAAAATATATATCGTATTTGGACGACAAAATCTGGTCTTTTGCTTTACCATTTGGTACTCGAAGAACGAACACTATAGTGGTTGTTGGTATAAGATCTTGCGTTAGTATAATCCGTACAACTCGCGAACGTCGATACCGTCAATCTCTAAAACTGGAAAGAATGATATTGTTAACATAAGGCAAAAGCAAAACTGAAGAAAGCGTATATGACCTGTGGATTTACACAAAACGAAAATACAAAGCGAAAAGAGACTGTGTAACAAACAAAAGCTACTTTAAACCTCACCCTGACTGAAATATCTTTCATGGAGATTAACCTGGATGTGCTTAACACAACAAAAACCAAAAGAGACCATAACGACATAAATTCTACTTACATTTTCAAAATTTCATAGCAGTATAAATAGCCAACTAAATAAGAAAGCTGAACAGACCTGGTTAACTCTAATTTTCTAACTTTCGATGAAGTCAATGTCTAAGATGTTGTTTAACTATGCTAAACCCTAGGTGAAAATCCATGACAACTTAAAATATTTTATGATTTCAACGCTATGGTTGGCGTAGATTCGGAACAAGAAGGTATGACTGTCTCAATAGAGCACATCTACTTACCATTCACGTATACGATGTTTCAATGTGGATATTAGCATATTTCTGTTTTAAGATGTTCATTTCTAGTCAAAAAGTCTGAAATATTCTCATATTAGTATTTTCGTTGATTTTCCTGGACGATAGTTAACTTTAAAATTATCAAAATAGAACTGTTGCTTCTGAGATTGTGTTATAAGAGTGAATTTCCTCCGAAGGTGTACTGGAGAATTGAACATTTACATATATGTTTACTCAAATAAAAAAATTTGGGGGCAATTTTTGGAAATCACAATGGAGAAGTTTAGGGAAAATACAACACTCCTTTCCCTTAAAACCTTAAAATCCCTCCTCGAAAGCTTTAAATTACCCTTCAAACACCTGAAAATTGCCCCAAAAGTTATTATTTTGGCATATACAATGTTATGATATTCTCCTCATTTCTGTGACAGACGAACTCTCGGCCCTTAGGTTATATCCTCGTTCCTCAAATTGCAAGGTATTCTGTTTATCGTCAGTATTCTTAAGGTTCGTCTTGTACTTTGCTTACATCCAAACTCTGTCACGCTTAGATTTTGAAGAGATTTGTTCAGATTTGTAGCTGATATCTGAATATATAAAACGGTGTTTACTTTAAAGTAGAGCACGAAAAACTAAAATTTATTACTTTGAACATTCGTGAAGATTCAAAACATTTTGTACGTTCTGTTGTAGTGCCATGTAAGGCAATACTATTATACCAGAGTTATCTAGTCACTCATCAAATTTCACATTATAATGAACAGTAGTATGTAGGTCTATATTAATCCTTTCTAGTAACTTCACGGTGAAGGTCTGATCCCACTTTAATTGAACTGCTTCACATTCAGAAGTAAATGATCCGAGAGAAAGATTACAAAGTTCAGTAAGTATATCTTTCTGTTGACTGCATCCTCAAAAACTGTACAGTTTCATTTCTATACATAAGTTCGTGTAATTGCAATTATCACTTGATTGATTCAGTTGAGATAATCCTTTTTAACTTGATACGAAAGTTTGCAGTAGGCAAACTTGTGTGTAAAATATGATTGTACAGTTTTGAGAACGAAACCAGCTTAAAGATATCTTTACTGAACTTCTTGTTCTCTCTCTTCAGTTTCCTAGTGGGCATTTTCCACGATTTGAAGAAATAATATATTCGATTGTGTTATCTTAATTTGAAGGTGATTTCCTGGTGATATAACAACGGGAATAAATCTAGTCTGTCTAATCTGTTCTTACTTGAAGGCTGCGTGTTCGTATCACGTCGGGCTCACCAATTAAGTGTAGTGGACCTAGTAGCTAGGTAAGTATATAAACGCAATTAAAAGGACAGAACAAGTACTAACAAATACGTATATATAAAATATTCAGTTCACTTAAGTTAATATACACAAAAAAGACTGAGGTTATTTGAAGAAAACTATAACGGTCACAAAATACACAAATTATAGACGTACGAAATTATAGGAATGGAATTGTCCTTCTCTTGATTATACAAATTCTCCACTACAACTTAGCGCTGTCAACCGTCGGAAGTCTCCACGTAGAGTAAAGCAGATAGGAGCAAAGTTCTTGACGGGGATGTGTCAACCAGTGCGAAACAGCGTTGGTCAGCAGATGTGCTGGGCGAGCAGCCGGAGAGAGGGTGAACGATTCGTTCCTTGCGCGCGGTTCAAGGTTTTAAGGTTGAATTCCTTCTTTTTTTCGTGAACATATAATTTGATATGTTTTTAGGCCGCCACAAGGTGTAAGAGTCCCTTCATCAATTTAATTCTAACCCTTTGAACTCTTTGTAACATGTGTGCTTCTTATTAGGAGGATGAGATTGATGCCTAGATCCAATCTTCTGAAAGACATCTAATATATTCCCATTATGATACACAAAATATATTGAGTCAAGAATACAAATGCCTAACAAAGAGTCCATAACGTTCTGAGAGACTCCTTTGCCTCTATCCTATAGTTTGCTGTGGTTTTCGTGGCATGGTTTACAACCACTTCTTGATGACTAAACCTTGTGTCCATTCTTACAGCGGTCTAGTCAGTAATTCTGCATGTTGACATGACTGATATTCATAACTACACTCTCGCTTACATTGTTTTCCAAAAATCAATATTTACACTAACCAGCCAATAAATTTAAAGCAACCATTATCATTCTTCAAAGCCCTCTAAAGCTTAATATCATTACGAATTTTAGACAAGATGACTAAATTATCAGCATTATCTTGTTTACGCATAGTAGGAGTGGAAAAGGGTCTAGACTTGTCTCCTTAAGGCACGACACTCTTCACCAGTTGCCATGATAACAGGACACCATTTACCCATATTTTCTAGCTTCTTTCCCTAGGCGAATTCGGAATTCAGTCGCTAGCTGCTTTTTCAATGCCGAGATAACCCAACTTCACCAGAAGACCTAAGCGGAAAGCCTTTCCTTAGTTCACGAACGTATATGTGTAAAACTTGGGCACTGTGGTAGTAAGTAATTCCATATTAGTTTGTTTACTAGATGTATCACACAGTGAAACAGTATTATTTACTGGATCACGTAGTTTCCAACACAATTTATTGTTCATAATCTTATCAATCATAATCACACGACTTCGAAACTTGAGTTTTATAGTCTTCTTTGTTCTCTCCTATTTGTCGTAGGGGTAGCAGAATTTTCCAGATATCTCGGACAGGTGTTTAATCATTCCTATTACATGTATTTGCAGTTGATTCGATAAACAAAGCTTCTGTTATCAATCTCTCCCTCCACTCTGTGACATTAGATTTTAAAACTGTTATCTTATCCCATCCTATTGTATGGTTGTGTAACTGCATGTAGTGCTATAGCTGAACTATTCTCCAGATTTCTTATCTTATCCAGATTAGTTGACTCTAATAAGATAAGAAATCTGGAGAATAGTTCAGCTATAGCACTACATGCAGTTACACAACCATACAATAGGATGGGATAAGATAACAGTTTTAAAATCTAATGTCACAGAGTGGAGGGAGAGATTGATAACAGAAGCTTTGTTTATCGAATCAACTAGAAAATACATGTAATAGGAATGATTAAACACCTGTCCGAGATATCTGGAAAATTCTGCTACCCCTACGACAAATAGGAGAGAACAAAGAAGACTATAAAACTCAAGTTTCGAAGTCGTGTGATTATGATTGATATGATTATGAACAATAAATTGTGTTGGAAACTACGTGATCCAGTAAATAATACTGTTTCACTGTGTGATACATCTAGTAAACAAACTAATATGGAATTACGTTTTAGATAAGGTTTTCTGTGTTGAAAGAAGCTTGATCAAGCAAGAACGATCCTCCATAAAACCTCACTACCCATTGGAAAATATCTGTTGCCCTCAGTATGATGCATACAGCATGACGGATGGTTCTTTCTAATAGTAACTGATCCCTACAGGACAATAGTTCTTAACTAAGTGCGGTTTAGAAGACCGAATTGATGATGACATTCTTTCAGTCTCGCATACACTATACTAGTCCAGGGAAATAGTGAACACCACTGGCAGTGGTTTTGTTATGGTCTTACTCTACGCCGGTAGCAGTTTATTGTGGCTACTGTATTTTCCAGGACTGCGCTTTGGAAGAGGCTCTAAGGTTGTTTTTTCTCAGTGTGAACAGATTTCTGAAAAAAACTATTAATCTCGAAATATCATTATCATAAAACTACTTGGCTAAAGTGACTTGACAGAGCCTTGACCTTGGTTGAATTCTTACTAGCTATACTTATCGAGCCTTCCTCAAGTAGAAGGATAGAGATGACGCCACTTTTACTTGTCCTTCTCTCCATGTTCGAAGAGGAAAGATTGAAAAGCCATCCCTACTCCTCGAACCATGCTGATTTCACTATGTGTCTGAAGAAAATCATAGCGTACGTTGTGTAAGATATCTGAAAAGTATTCTTATGAACGTGAAAAGATTAGGATATTCAAAAGCTTTCAGATATCTTCATCATGGAGGTAGCTTTGATTTTACAATCAGGTGTTACTGAGGGACAAATACAGAGTTCGTAAACTTTTGGTGGCGTGTACTAATCAAACAGTCATGTGCGCAATTACAGCTAATAGGTATACCCATATTGTACTACAATGACCTATTTAGCTGCGGTATCAGAAAATCGAGATATTTTTGTGAGACGTCGCTTAAAGTTCATTAAAGCTCGGCACCATCTATATGCAAAACAGTATAACCTGAAATCTATCAGTAATTATTTAGTATAGTGTAAGTAAAGGAGGGAATATCTCTGGGGCTGAATTTTTTCGTTATAACTGTGTTTTCATTATTAAGTAGTACCAAAACATAATTCTCTGGATATGATGAATTGACATAACTAAGCTGACATCCTCCCTCGTGTATGAGGAACACTTCTGGTGACTCCTACTGATATCGATTCAGGTTCATTATGAAATTTTAGTACACAACATTGATGATAATAAAGACGATTTCTAAATTCTCAGTAGCCAACTACACTCAAGTGAATCAAAATAATATTTATACACTCGGATATCTCATTTTTTCTAATGAGTATCATAACTAAATCCAACCTTTGTTATGTCTTGCATCATGGTGTAACTTCATTCATTCATCAGTGACTTGACTATCAAAGAATGAGGAGTTTGTATTGTATTATATCTGCTCTAGTGTTTGAAATAACTGACACTAGCTCTTGCAAATGTCGTCTTTGACTGATCGTTTCAGTGTCTTGATATATATATATATATATATATATATATATATATATATATATACAGAAAAGGTAGTGAGGCGTATGAAAAATGAAGACCTAAATATTTCCCAGTAGCATGTTTACTCACTGACGGTAATAAACAAGTTATGGAGTACAAGTGTGATGTTATTTTAAATCGGAAGCAACAAACAGTTTCAGGCCATGATCTACACCAGCTTCTTCAAAAAGTGATTTTTCTGGTAGTTAAAGACTCAAACAGTTTGATGTCTGTATGTTTTGTCTTAAAAGCAAATTTTAGTATTTATTTCAAATTAGTTAGTTAGTTATTTTTGTCTTAGTGTTATTTGTTCACAAATATTATTGAATTTCACTTTCTGGGATGTAGTCACAAATAAATTCGATTGCTTTTTCAAGTATTGGTTTATGAGGATTTGATTGATTGATTACAGGATTTCATCATGAGCTGACATCGGTTAGAGAACCATTGGATAACCTGGGAGTACCGGACAGCTGTTTCGTCCTAGTCTGGGATACTTCACAGCACACGCCCACCACCAGGGTTCGAACCCAGGACCTTCCACTTACAAAGCGACCTCGTAGACCATTAAGCCACTGGGACCCGATCCAATGGCCAGCCCATGAATTCCAACTTCTGCCAATTCACGACATAGCGCGACCACTAGCCACTATCTTCAGCGAGTATTTGTCCTCACACCCGAACTGCTGTACCCACCTGGTCACGACTTCCCACCAGAACCCCAGGTAACTATCTACATGAATAGGGCCAGTCACTAGTGAGCATCTCATTGATATTCAAGTATTGCTTTTTGGTAGACGAGGATTCTTAATCGAAAATCGCATAAATTTCTTTTGAGTATTCATGCTATCAGGAATGATTACTAGTCTAGACAAACTTCTTGTGAAGTGCTTACCAATTGCAATAATTTCCTCAGTTTAATTGATAATTTTATGATGTACAGAATTCGTTATACCTATACCTATTGGGTTTTGTGGAGTGTGAACTTTCCGAATACTAGACAATTAAGGCGTATTAATACAGTGTTCTATTTATAAATCTATTGAGGCATAATTTATGGATCTACTGGTTAATCTTTTTCTTCACAATCAAAAGTTCACACAGGGAATCGTTCATCTGAAACAAACACAGATCTTTGTAGATTTCATCCACCTTCTTCTGATAGTCAGATTTATCCATGATAATTACATCAACATTTCTATTTTTCTCAATGACAGTTTTGTCTTTCTATTTTTGATGATGACACTTACTTGGACAAATTTTCTGCCGTACTGCATTGTTGGGGAGCTGATGAGAAATGGTTACTAGTTTCACTTTAACCCATTCCAAATTGCTTTTATAAGACACTATTAAGTCTGATATTTGAATGTTCAAATTTATTTCACTGTGACCGAACTAATACCCCACTTACCGTTGCACAGACAGTCTTGTATTTCAGTCCAAATGCAAATTAATTTTATTTTTGTTTATGTGACAAATCTTTCACATCATTTTGATAATGTTTAGCCCAGGGACATAAATTATGTCATTACAATAGACTGCAAATTTAGTCCGATCACAGAAAATCTGTGAAATCATATCACATCACAACATTTATCTTCTGAATGTTTTTATTTAAGTTATAAAACTAGATTGTTTTTGTCCAGTGATATTTTCAAACTAAATTTTAAAAAAGCTAGCACTTTCATAAGAGCTTATGTGATCTTGGCTAATCTCAGCACTCAGTAGTACTTTCTAGAGAGTGTATCAATATTGAAAAATATCGGAGCCTTGTTAAAAGAAAGCCGAGTTCCAAATCAAGATTATGCGGGAATAGTAGGGAAAGTTGGAAGTCCTAGGATAAGCATAAGTTCAGCAATGAGTAGCACAGTTCAATCAAAAGGATTTTTTTCCTGCACGTTCCCAGTGGAACATAGGGCTTCAAGCCTCTAGCTTGAAGTTTCCGTAGCAGTGTTTATTTTTACAGGATGGGGTTGCTAGCCTCATGCCCAACCTTTCCTCCTAACCAGTCTTATTAGTGGCTTGGCGAGGTAAAGGAGTGCGTCGGCCGGGGATCGAACCCCGAATGGTTGGTTAGTATTTCAAGACTGAACCACGGATGCACTTAGATACCGTATATAAAGTTTGAAATACAATTATTACAATATGAAGTTTGAAATATATCAGCATAGTCAATAAATCATCCATAAATACCCTGCATTAAATCTGGAAAAGTAAAATCATATGCTCCACCAAAGAAGAAGTTTCATGATGACACAAACATCACACTGTGATATCAGCATTGTATGCTACAATGCTGTTAACTCCACGGACAAGATTTAGAGGTAATGACGGCAGGGGCGAACTAAGGCAACCTTATTTCAGTTATGCGTCTAATTGCCCTAGTTCGCCCCTGCCGTCATTACCTCTAAATCTTGTCCGTGGAGTTACAGTATTGTAGCATACAATGCTGTATCACAGTGTGATTTTCGTCATATGAAATTCTTCTTTGGTGGAGCATATGTTTTTACTTTCCAGATTTAATGTAGGGTATTTATGGATGATTTATTGACTGTGCTGATACATTTCAAACTTTATATTGTAATAATTATACTTCAAGCTTTATATACGGTATCTAAGTGCATCCGTGGTTCAGTCTTGAAATACTAACCAACCATTCGGGGTTTGATCCCTGACAGACGCACTCCTAAACCTCCCTTAGGCGGTGGCAAGACCGGTAAAGATGTAAGGTTAGGCGTGAGGCGAGCGACCCACCTCGTAAATAATAAACATCGCTGGTATTGAAACTTTCAAGGTCAAACTTTCAGCTCTATGTTCCACTTGGAACGTAAAGGAATAAAACAAAGAAGCAGAATATGGTATTTAAAGTGATACTACTTATTTTATATTTGTCATTAGTGTAATTAATCCATATTTTCTTTGATTTTATTGAAATTCCTTTTTGCAACAAATCATACAATCTAGAAGAACGTCGATCTACTCATCAAAGTAATCTTGATGAAGACGACTTGAATGAGGAAGCAAATGACTTGAAAAAAGCAATTATACTAAAACCAGGTGATAAATTTCTTGGAATATCAACCAATCCTGAATTGTATGAAGCACAAAGTGTTAGTCGTATTGAAGATATACCTGATGATGTACAAGAAGGCGTTGAACGTAGTCTATCAGATCTTGTTAGAGATAGAATTTATCTAACAGATTTTGATCCAGACTTTCATTGGAACTCTTCACATGAAGAATTTGTTGAAAATGAATTTGCTAGTGGTGAACACAACCTACTTATCTGCTACATGATACACAAAGATGAGCTGAAACTAGAATTTGAAGTACCAAGATTTTGGTGTAGTGAAATTAATTATTTCATTTTCACACCAGGTGTGAATGGGGAGAAAGTGACTGTTGATAATTTTGATTTACGCATACAATTTGGTAGTATATCAGGTTCAGCTATACAACGTTTACTCAGCGTCATGTCAGCGGTATTTGCACCAAATCTATTCGCCAATACAACATGGCCAGATAGTATACATAATGATTTTGCATTACAATTACAACGCTTCATGTCATCACTGACCGATGCCAGATGGAAATTAGAAAATAAAACTGTACTATACATGCCTACAGAAGGTTTAGACTTATTACCAGAAATAGCAGCTAAAAATAAAGAACTAGTGAATAGATTTGAAATGATCATTATTCACTGGACAAGACAAATTAAAACTGTTCTAAATTCACAGAATGTAATTGATGAAATTGAAGGCACTGGTCCATTAGATGAAATTGAATTTTGGCGGAATCGTTGTGAAGATTTAACAGGAATTAGTCTACAGTTGGATAGACCAACTATCAAGCATATAACAGAGATTTCAACAATTGCAAAATCAACCTACATTACAGCTTTTTTAAAATTAGCTGATGAAATTAAATCTAATACGCTACAAGCACAGAGTAATTTGAAATTTTTGGATACAATTAAAGAAATCTGTCATCATTTAGCTGAATCGAAACCAGTTGATATTCCTCCCAAGCTACCACGTCTTATCAATACAATACGTATGATATGGACTAATTCAAAGCATTATAATGATAAAGAAGCTATAACAGGATTATTTCGTAAATTATCTAATGAAATTATATCAAGATGTTGTAGTGTTATTTCACTTGATGATATATTCAATGGAAAAGTTATCTCCGCTTCAGTAAATTTACATCATTGTATTAATTGTTGTGAAGAATATAAGCAGATTTATGATCGATTACAGTTGATGCATTCACGGAATTCACCAAAACCATGGGATGCACAAAGGAGTAGTATATTTGCACAAGTTGATGCATTTATACAAAGATGTCGTGATCTTTTGGAAGTGAGAACATGCATTATATATATTTTATTTTTGTATTTACTATACACTACTTGTTCATATGTAAATTTGATTTAGCTAACTATTACAATGTTGCCACTGTTAGAATGAGTGGGTTCATAGATCTTCCTAAAAACGACGCTGAGGGCGATGATGTATATATAAAAAAAATCCCCTTGGATTCCCAGCTGAACATAGGGCTTCAAAAGCGAATCGATATTTCTTCCAGTCCTCTGTAAAACTGCCTTTAACTTATTCCACAATTGCCCATAAGCTGTCATTTCCTCCTTGTAGAGTCTCCTTGACGTCACGCCCAGAAAAATGCCCAACTTGTCATTTTCCATTCGGGTTCTGCTCAGAGGCTTGCACGCAATATCACCCAGCCGTCTTCTCCACATGTAACCAATCCATCTCCATTTTCTTCCGCATATTTGTTGGCCAATATATTCTTGGTTGGTACTCTGCTTGCTACAGTTCGTTGTTGATAATACTTTCTTGCTATCTAACCTTCAGTATCGTGCTATTGATGACAGCTGTTGATAAGGGTCTGAAGCCTGTCCGAAATACTATAGATGATGCGCCTAGGATCTGAACCATATAGAGGCACTAACTTCACATTAATGCTGGAATTTGAATCTTGTTTTTTATGCTGGGTGTACAGCAGATTTCCACATTGATTTCAGATTAGTCAAAGTCTCTCTTGACTTTCCGATCCTGACTGTGACAACCTCACCAGTGCCGCTTGTAGTTGAAACGGTGTTGCTTAGATGAATGGAAGAAGTAACTTCCTGCGTTACAGCATACCCATAAATACTCTAGTTTGAATGAGGGATAGTACTTGTATACAAGTAAGAAACAAAGAATCTCCGATGCAATAAAATCCTCGTAAGATCATAAAAATGTAATATCAAATGCTTATCTTTGAGATCTACCGTCTTCATTTGACTATCAAGCAGCATTTAGTGTTATGGACTAGAAAAAAGCTCTGAAATCGTGCAGATCAATTCCTGCAAAAAACTTTTTCCAATATCTGATTCAATGCCAAATATGTGAAAAATCTATTCCTTGTGTCATTACGTGAAAATAGCGACGAGCTTTGCAGCTTCAATGCGCTTGTAGCCTATGAATACTTAGCAAACTTTCATATTTATAAATTTGCTTTGATAACGACCCGTCTTTCAGAGGATCGGATTTTATCCGGCTATTAGTCTTGAAATACTTGGTAAGACTGAGGACAAAGGGACCATTTCAGTGAAAATGGCTTCAAAGGCAAATTTTCCGAATTCTGTCTGATTTTTTGGTAATACCGACGTCATTGATGTTGACTGTTGGAATAAATCCAGTGGTATTAATAAGAAAAAATAAAGTCGTGGATACGTAATAATAATAAAAGCTTTATTCCAAACAATACTTTAAGTACAAATATAGAATTTTCAACATGCATCTGATTTTCTCATTACAGGGATAATAATTAAAATAGGGCATTCGCATTACTAATATTGTTCAATAAGAAGTGAATATAAAATTAAATCAAGTGAAAATATTGGCGACAACGTAATAAGGGGAACAAAAGAAACACAGTGCCATTTACCGAGAGTTCCCATCTTACACTTTTCTCGTCACATAAAATATGTGTGCTCAATTGCGTATTGTAGTGTTTTTGTACTTAGTCGTCCGAGCAAACAGTCTTCTGTAGTTGCTTCTAGTTCTACCCGATGAGATGCAAGCAGAGTGAGAGAGAGAGTTGTGTATGGAGAGAATGTTCAGAGTCTGATTCGATAAGATTTGCTAATTTCTTGCACGAATCCATGTGTCTGTCTAAAATAGCATTAAGAAGTTGGTTTAACAACACCTCACTCGTCCTACTGACGGCTTTTAGTGCCCTACGCAGTATAAAAAGGTCTTTCTTAAGTAGCCTGGAAAAAAGTGAGAAGGAACAGTTAATGAGAATAGGTAGAATACAAGAATTAACAAACGGTAACAGTAGAGACGGAATGATACTAGATCGTCTTAACTTCCTTATGTAGAACGTTAAACGAAATATCTTTCTGGAAACTAACATGATGTGGGGAGACCAGGGAAGGTGATCAGATGAAATACACAGCTCAAGGTATTGAAAATTCAATTTGGTTTCAACTTCAGTGCCATCTATGATATTGGAACCGTGAGAACTAACCAGTTCATGTAAGTCGCGCTTGCGTCTGAAAGTAAAATTAACCACCTGACATTTGGAGGGATTAAGCTTAAGACCATTTGATGAGGACCACTGACTAATTTCTGATAAAAAGTTATTCATTTTGGAACAGTTTGACTGAGAAGTTATGTATCAGGAACTCAATTATTTTAATGACAAATAAAAAAATTACAAATTTATATATATATGTATATAAAGATGGGATAATAAGATCTTGGATTCTTCTTTTTCCTCAGCAACTGGTTATTATTACTTATATATTATTGGAAAGACCTTTTTCAGTCGTTACCACTTTCTTAATGACAATATTCAGCATATTATTCAGTTTGTTGGTGGAACCTTTGACGCACATTTCATCCTTTATGAGATTCGTCAACATGAAGTATCTGCTCCCCAGAGAGGGATGTTCCCGATGAGATTGAAGACTCTTCTAAATATCTAAATGGGGATTTTCGCTTCATTATTACTGATATGATTAAAAATTTCCTGTTTCGACAGTCCTTAAAGTATTTTTATGTACAGTGGTTTAGAGTAGATTTTCTTTGAAAGGTAAATACAGAAATCGGATTACATGTTTATGAGATATGTTGCACATGCACTGCACTAAGCTACAGTTACCTCTGGTTTATATTATTTCCAGTATGTACGCAAAGACTTGCCTATTGTACAGATTTATTTCTCTTCTTAATACATTTTTTCTTGGAATTTAAATTTTTTTTAAGATATGTGAATGTCAAAAACATTTTGGTCGATATGAAGAAGGCAATAAAACAATTATGCCAATATTTCAAGGAATTCGTGGTCCAGAAGTAGAAATTCTTTTAACAACAATTGAACAAATGTTTGCTAAATTAATGAATAATTTATTTGAAAAACGTCATTATATCTTAGATGTGAAGGCTACATCATGGCATGATGATTATAATCGTTTTAGGATAGGCATAAAAGATTTAGAAGTAATGATGCAAAATGCAATAAATACAGCATTTGAAACTGTTACAACTATACAACAAGGCGTTGAAGTATTGGATATATTTGCCCATCTTCATCATCGTGAGGTATGTCTATTTTCTGAAAAAAGAAACTGATATAAATTATTATTCAACCTTGCATAGTTGAACATATTCGTTTGTTTTCGATTTTAGTTATTAAACGACATCCATCAATCAGTTGTTTTGTTTTTGTTGTAATATTAGCTATACTTTGAATTTAGTAATAAACATTGTAAGAAAAGTAGTGACCTAACGGAAACCTTTCATTACCTCAATGATTTGAAAGGCGACAGGTAACAAAATGCTCTTCATTGCACACTTGATTTTAATTTAATTTTTAAATACTCATCCCCCGTGAAAGTTCAGGCTTTTGTTCATTGATGACATTTCATGCTTTTAAATGGTGCTTTTACTCTTTTTGCACTATGTAAAAGACAGTGAAGTCTACTAAGAAATGTAGACTGTAGATTAACATTTTTGGTGCAAACAGTATACGAATACCTCATTTGAATGTCAGCTTATTCAAATACATAATGGTCATAAATGACCTGGCATGCATACACCAATATTCTTCCTTATTCAATTGGATTAACAGTATGCCATCAGATTTGCATTCAAGATTTATAATACTGAAGGTAGTTGACAAATAAAACTACATTTCAATAGCGGGTTTGTAAGCATTAGTTGGTTCTCTAACTGATATTATTCCCTGATCAGCTCGTCAAAACAAATCTAATCCTTACAAACCAACTCTTGAAAATTAATCTGATGCTCGCTATTGACTAGCTACAGGACTGAGTTTCCTGGAATTCTAGTGAGAAATCATGGCCAATGAGGCCCATCCAGTCAAGTGTGAGGATGGATGTCCCACTGGTGACATTGGTTGGTGCCAGTCGCGCTAAATCACGAATTGGTAGAAGTTAGAATTCATGGGCTATTCATTGAATTGGGTCCCAGTGGCTGAATGGTATACGACATTGCCTTGTAACTGGAAAGTCTTGGGTTCGAACCCTGTCAGTGGGTGCGTACTACCAATGATTCTCAAACTAGGATGAAACAGCTGGCTGTCCAGTAGTCCCTGCTGGTTTTCGGTCGGTCGGTTGGTTTTCGACATAGAACTTTAGACATATGTGCGGCAGTTCAAGTCGCCACACTCCCTCTTTGTAGCACACAAAGCAAGAGAAGAAAGTAAGAGAAATGCATATTAGAGACAGTAAACAGAGGTGTGAGGCAAAAGAATAGTAATAACGAACAACAAAACAGTTTCATTGGAAATGATAAGTCACAAGGAGTGGATGCATCTGCACCCGCCATTGAGAACGATTTTGAGCTAGCCATGTCACCAATTGTTACCAACCATTGGTTTTTACCGTCCCGAGGACCCCAACCAGGAAGTCTACACCTTTCTACGTGGCCTAGACTAACTGTTTTAGATTTCATTGACTGGTGCCATGTTTTCGTTTGACCGCCGTTAGCTCTTTTCCAGCCTGATCCTATATCAGCTAACATTGCCCGTCGAGGAAGGCGATGACTAGGCATACGTAGAACATGTCCTAACCATCTCAGTCGATGTAATTTCACAGTCTCGTAGATTGATTTCCCCTCCTTATCTAGCACTCGACGCCCAACCTCAATATTGCTCACCTTATTATGCCACTTCACGCGGGAGATAGAACGCAGACACCTATGATCGAAGACAGCTAATCTTTTCATGTCTTCTGCTCTGAATGGCCAGGTCTCACAGCCATAAAGGAGGATGGAGCGGACTGATGAGCAGTACACACAGCCTTAGGTCGGTAGTCGGATATCACGTCTACGTCAGAGACGGCGTAAACTGCTGGTTTTCAATGGTTCTCTAACTGATATCAATCCGTGATCAACTCGTTAAAAATAAAACTACCGAAACGCTAACACAACAGTTGAATACAGACCATATACTAGGTTATGCAAGTGAAGAGATTGGACAACTTCAACTAACAGAAAGTATTCCATACCATTAAAGATAGCTCTATTGAAGTGGTAAAAATTGGAGATCTTTTCCTTTCAAGTTCTTTTTTGTCGATGACGAATTACTAGCAACTTGTATAATTCACTTATGTAATTACTAATATCTTGAATTCCTCATACTGTATCATTGCTGCATCGTTGAAATTCTATTAGTTGATGAAAAATTTAACTGAGGACAGGAATTTCATCGCAAGTAATCATTTATGAGAGATTATATACTATAAATTAACCTGTAGAAAATTCATCTGAAAAAGAGAGGTATCCGACTTTAGTAACAGGAGAATATATTTGCTTTCCCTAAAACATCTATCAATTATAGGTGCATGATCTGTAATAATTAACACCATACAACTAATACATTATGAAGCTTAGATGGCTGGAGGCAATCCTCAGGAAGCATTGAACCTAGGTTTCGTGCTAGTTGGCACTCCTCAGTCAGCAAGGCGTATCTGCAACCTTGAAGGAACTCATGTCCCTTCTGAGATTCGAACCCGTGTCATCCAGTGCTTAACTTCAACCAAATTCCAGTAAACGGAAATGGAGACTAAATATAATTCGATCTGTTTCTCAGTTCAACCAGCTGAATGTATAAGACGAAACGCTTAGCCATTCAAATATCTATATAGGAATATGAAAAAACCGAAATTCGGGTGGATTTATTATAATGTATGTAGATTGCCTAAAAACATACCGTATTGTCAGCCGATTAACCTTTCAGCGCTCGCACTGATGAATCAATGATTAAACTAAGTAGTTGACTTTGATTTGATAAACTGAAATCAAACTTGAATAGAAAAGGGCTGTTAATGACGTGCGTCGGTGGCACAGCGGTTAGGAAGCTCGCCAACCATGCACTTGGTCCGGGGTTTGGTCCCCGACCGACGCACTCCTTTACCTCCCTAAGCCAGTAATAAGACTGGTAAAGAGAAAACGTTGGGTATGAGGCTAGCAACCCCATCCTGTAAAAATAAACACTGCTACAGAAACTTCAAGCCTCTAGCTTGAAGCCCTATGTTTCACTGGGAACGTGAAGGAATAAACTGAAGGCTTGCCAGAGCAGTAGTGTAACAACAGAAGACAAGGATCCGGCAACAGATCGTTTATTAGGGAAAATGAACACATATAGATTTTAATGTACATTATTGTAGATTATTGTTAGTAAAAAATACAGCCTTTTGATTGGTTGTTTCTCACAGAAAGTTAACCTTGCATCTCTTTGTGGCTGTGTCAGATCATCCATATGCTAACTGTATCCGCCTACGCAAAGCCTTTGTTTCCATTTTCTCACCACCAATATTGGGGACAAAAACATTAAAGTCAATTACTGTCTACCAACTCTGGCTAGCAGCCAGCTCTCACCACAGTAGTATTGGCTGGTTGGACTTGCTTCTTCTGCACACAAAGTTGTTAATGACAGAGAAATTTAATGTTTCTTTCAGTTACTCAGCCACAGACGATATATATATAGAGAGAGAGAGAAGAGGGAGAGAGTAGTGCTCTTTCGATTGTCTGTACGTTGATTAGTCTGTCAGATCAATACAAGCAGTTCAAGTAATTCAATCACTTCTCTGCTGCGTAACAGAACTTCTATTAATTAGGTAGACGGATAACTTCCTAAGGTGGAAAACGTCTCAGTGTTTCGTACAAGGCCTTTTAAAATCGTCTTCAAGGGATATATTACACCACAGTACAGAATTATGCAAACTAGTAGTTGATATGAAAACTTATTTGACAAATCCCGTGATTACTGAAATTTAGACGACATGATATTGTCAGGTGTTGCTCATTAAGTGAATGAAATAAAATTCTTTAAATTATAGTCATACATATGTACATTAAAACTTGAAAACTGTTTATAAATGTTTGGTGCTAATTTTAAACTGATCAATTATGAATAAAATCTCTTTTAACCTTTTTAATTTTTCTATTTTTAAGACTATACGGAGAACTATTGATAGCAAAACAAACGAACTGATAACTCGTTTTGGCAATTGTTTAAATCAAGTTAAAAAAGAAATGTCTCAACGCGTCTACACTGGTATACCACTACCAACTGAAGCATACTACAGTGGGCAAGCTATCTACTGGAGATTCTTACGACGTAGATTAGAAAAGGATATGTTGGTTAGTCATGTGTAACATTTATATACCAATTAAAAGTAAAATACATGTTTCTAAGTCATTCCAAAAGCATAGGATATGTATGAGTTAACTGGAATTTGATCACGTTCATTTGAATACACTGGAATAGCTTAATGATATATCCCTATATCAACCACCTTTGTATGTCTTTAAGTTTGGAAATTTTGCATGATACTTGTCGTTTGACGTCAACCAGAGATTAGAGATACTCAATGAATACTTAAATTTCAGCATAAGTATTTATGGTAGAAAGGGCCAAGTTAAACTTAAAGCACCACTAACTACCAATGGAGTGCGACCGCACCTGTGACCTTGAAACGCTCACTGAGCACGTTATTTAGTGAAACCTGGCAAATAATGTTGTCATCATCAATAAAATATGCTCATTGAAGTGCTATGTTATTAAATGGGATATCTGGCAAGTTTCAGCTTACGTTTGGGAAAGATTAAGTTATGATTTAAGCCAAGGACAAGTTCGGGTTAGGTTAACCTAATTAAGGCGACATTAGGGTTGGTTCAAGTTAGGTTACAGTTAGTTTAGGGACATTTTCACGTTAGGGCTAGGTACAGGAAACATCAGAGTTATTGTTAGGGTAAGAAGACCTGAATAATTACATGCGTACAATGTGGTTAAATTACTCTGTTGATATAAGAATAGAACTCGTGCACTGTGGTAGAGTATAATTCCATTTTGGACAGCATTTATGTTGATAAAGTCTCACTGATGACGTTTCGAGCACAATTTATTGCTCAGTAAATATTACCGTATAACACTGTGAGACTTTATCAAAATATATTTGGAATTATACTCTGTTGATACTCCAATCTAAAACTGAGAGCTATTTTTACCACATGTGAGAGAAAGGTATCCTCTGTAACATTTTTACGCATGGTTTTAATAAATATATGTATTCCATACACAAAAATGCATCCTTCACGTGGCTAGTGCGTTCGAGGTCATTCGCTAATTAGTAGTTAGCGGTGCTTAAAGTTTAACTTAGCCGTAGAAAGGATAAAATGCGGAGTGACTTTAAAAACCCTTCTAGGAGATAACTTTTTCACAGCTATTGGATGTCATTTCACCGAAAACACCTATTGAGGCAGGAAGAAAATAAAAGACAATTCAGTCAAGAAAATTTTCTTCATCCACGAAATCACCTTTAAAGGCTGTACAGTCATATTTATTTCTATCAAAAGTGTATAGTGGTCCATTATTGATTAATAGGAGTGATATAATTGATATAATTACTCAGAATTGGCTTCGAAAGTAAAAGTTATAAATTACGCAATACTCAACGTCACTAAGGAAGAAAGCCTTAGAAATTTGACAAATTTATAATTGTTATTGAGTGTCTGGCTGGCTGGATTCAACATAGAACTTGGCACCGAAGTGCAGCAGTTCGGGTCGCCACGTTCCAAATAGCACATAAAGGTAGACAAGAAGATGAGTGAAGAGAACCAATAGAGTTTTGACAAGTATAAGCGTGAAACAGAGTGAGTAATGGTAGAAAGGAATATGAAAGATTACAGAGACTGAATACATCTGCGCCATTGACAACGATTTTGAGCCATGTCACCTATTGTCTCCAGCCATTGATTCTTAGAGTCCCGAGGGCCCCAACCCGGAAGTCTGCATCTCCTTACCTGACTCAGTTTAACTGTCAAGGATTTCATGGATTGATGCCATGTTTTTGTTTGGCCACCACTTACTCTTCTCCAACCTGCGCCTATATCAGCTAGTAATGCCCGTCGGGGGGGGGCGATGGTTAGGCATGCGCAGCACGTGACCTGGCCATCTCAATCTATGTAATTTTATAGTCTCGTGAATTGATTTTCCCTCTTTGCCCAACACTCTACGCCTAACGTCAACATTACTTACATTATTATACCACCTAACATGAGAAAGAGATCGTAGACATCTATGATCAAAAACAGTCAACCTTTTGATGTCTTCAACTCGTAATGGCCATGTTTCAGAGCCATAGAGAAGGACGGAGCGAACTGCTGAGCAGTACACACGTCCCGGATGTCACGCCTACGCCAGAGATGGTGTAAGTTAGCGAAAGCAGCTCGAGCTCTTTGGATCCGTGCTGAGATTTCGTCACCAATCAGTCCGTTGGTGTTGATACAACTTCCCAAATAGGTGAAGTGGTCAACATGTTCCATCACTTCACTTGTTATTGAGTGAGAAGAAAGGTAGTCGAGTGTTCATTTAACAAGTGTGAACAGGGTGCGAAAACGTACAAAAGGAACATTTGAGAGAGATACTAGTGAAATAATTGTTGAAGCAAAAGCAAACTAATTATAAAAAATAAAGATAAAAAATTTACAGGGAATGACTAATGAAGAGGTTAAGACTATTGTAGAATAAGACACTGGATAAACTTTCTCTGTATGCAGAGTTTGCGGTTGTATTGATGAATTGCCAACACTTCCGCCATTCAAAATTGGTGAAACCTGATGCCCCTTGTACCATTTGATCTCACCTTGTAGATGATCTTGAAAGATGACTCTGATGGAGCTATATGGCTTGAGTTCACTAAGTGCTCGAGAATTGAGCTAGTAACTGTCTTGCATTGTCCTTTTGCTAACCATGCTGGATAATGTTTAGAGATGCTTTTGGAGAGTGTGAGCTTTGTGCGTTCAATATAACTAGCTCCACACAAGCAGGTGAATTTATGAACACAGACTGAAGTGGCCCAAAGCGGCAGTTTGTCCTTCACACATCCACTGATCATTTGTCAGCTGTAGAAAATGATCCGTAACTCAGTCGGAAAGAATGCTATTCCCTGTGATTTGGATAAGCAGTACTTCAGAATCTCAGCTGCAATATTACCTTTAAATTCAGCGTTTACAAACAGCAGTTTCTTCGGCACCGTCTGGGTTCTTTCGGGTTTTGCTTTACTTTTTTCTTGGTGAATCTTGGAGGATATTATTATTTATTTATTTTATTTTGATTACAGCTTGATGCCACACTGTATTTTCAGTACAAGTATGGAATTTTCAGCATGGATATCGGTAGCCCAAATTTTGCAGGCTGACCATAGATTTCGGGTGTGCGTCGGCAGGGAATAGAACCCCGGACCATGTGCATGGTCGGCGAGAGTCCTAACTACTGTGCCACCGACGCACATATCCATTTTCCATGAGGACTCGTCTGAGTATCTCCAGTTAACCATCGATTGTATCACTGGTAAATATCCTTCTTATTCTTAAGGATAAGAAGTGGACTAGATTTCTCTTTCTTCTCAAAGGGACCCAACTATGAAAATTCATGTATTGACCATTCCATGTTGGTTTCCAGAAGATTGGTCTTTGAAGAGAACCGTCAGATCTCCTTTTTAGCAAGAACATTCAAAAAATGAAATTCCAAGTTCATTTCTGATTCCGACATGAACTGGATAGCATGAGAGCAGTTGCTGAATTCCCTATTTATCATATTAATGTTGGCATTCTCATCGCATATGATAAAAGTATCATCCATGTGTCTTTGGTACATGGATACATGGTACAAGTAGCATCATCAGCGTCTTACCAAACAACCGAAAACCATCAGTTAAAATAATCTGACGTAAAAATTGATTAAATTATTAGGAAATCATATTTAATTAGAACAAACTAATTTAAACAAGATAACAGTCTCTGATAAAATTGGAAAACGTGATCAGAATAGAATTGTGAACGAGGTCCGTGAATAGCACCCTTACCACTGTCATTTGGTAAATCACTCACTAGACTTACCAATATTCATCCTTTTGCAAAGGCTGTCAAAGCTATTCATCATTTCATAATGCCTGACAAAATTAATATGGCAATGTAGTCGTTAATGTAGTACCAGTAGTAGAATTTGGACACTGATAGGGTATTAGGTAAGTTTACCTGACATGCAAAACAGTAATGCAGTGTTTCTAACTGGTTGGCAATGCTTTACTCACACATAACCAGTTGTCCACAGTCGATTTATCATGAGTCAAGGCTAGTTAACAACCTTGTTAGTTGAGTGGAAATTTGATATTTTGGTATTTAGTGATAGAAGACAAGGGCCAAGCAACCCATCATTTATTGAGAAAATCAACAGATATTTATAGATTTTTGTGTTCATTATTATTCGTTATTGTTAGCAGAAAGGTAACGTCTTCTGATTGGTTGTTTTCTTGCTGAAGGTTATTCTGTCATCTCTTTGTGGCCGTTCCTTAGACAGCCCGTTGACATATCTGTTAATCGTATCCACCTACGCTGTCTTCCGTGATTGGCTGTTGAATTAGTCTTTGTTCTTTTCTTTTTTTCATGACCAAGATTTGGGAAGTAAACATTGGCGTAAACTGCTATCTATCAATTTTGGCTAGCAGACAGCTCTCACCACAATATTAGTCAAACCATCTTATTATTATTATTGTTCCCTTGGGTTCCTAGTGGAACATAGGGCTTCAACTGCACGTCTCCACTTGCTTCTGTCTTCTGCTGTTCTCTTCACTTGCGTCCATGTTATTCCATACTGTTTCATCTCCTCCTCACACGATCTCCTCCATGTCACCCTTGGACGTCCCACTCGCCGCTTCCCTTTCGGGTTCCACTCGAGGGCTTGACGCGCGATGTCACTCAACGGCCTCCCCAGCGAGTGTCCAATCCATCTCCACTTCCTCCTGCATATTTGTTGGGCGATTGGTTCCTGTTTCGTTTGTTCCCATAGCTTCTTGTTTGTGATTCTTTCCGGCCATCTAATCTTCAGTATGGAGCGAAGACAGTTGTTGATAAAGGTCTGCAACCTGTTGAAAATATTCTTGGTTACCCGCCAAGTTTCTGATCCGTAAAGCAAAATTGACTTGACGTTTGTATTGAAAATCCGAATTTTGTTGTTGATGGTGAGTGACGAAGATTTCCAGATTGGTTTCAGGTTGATGAATGTGTTTCTCGCCTTCCCGATTCTCGATTTGACATCCTCGTCCGTTCCTCCTGTGGTTGAGACAATGCTCCCTAGATAAGTGAATGAAGTAACCTCTTTCAAATCCCTCCCGTTGATGGTGATTGGCGCTGGATGTTGCTGTTGTTGTTGTTGTTGGTTGGTTATGTTCATAATCTCCGTCTTGTCTATGTTCACCTGGAGTCCTGTCCTGTCTTTGCTGCTTCTTCGACCAGTTTGTCGGTTTTCGCTTGTAAGTCTTCGATTTTGTGTGACATCAAACATAAATCATCCGCAAAATCCAGGTCTTCTAGGTTCTTCACGTCGGTCCAGGATATCCCTGTCTTCTCGTTTCCCACTGTCTGACGCATAATCCAGTCCACCACAAATAGGAATATCATTGGTGATAATAAGCACCCTTGTCTGACTCCTGTGTTTACTCCAAACGCTTCGCTGAGTTTTCCGTTGTGGATCACTTGACATGTGCCGTTGTCGTACAGCTGTTGAATAAGGTTGATGAATATTTGCGGTACGCCGTAGTACTCGAGTAGTTTCCAAATTACTTCGCGGTCAACGCTGTCGAAGGCCTTCTCAAAGTCTATGAAGTTGAGGTAGAGATTTGATTGCCATTCCATGCTTTGTTCGATGATAATGCGTAGAGTTGCAATTTGGTCAGAACATGATTTGCCTTTCCTGAATCCAGCTTGTTCTGGTCGGAGTTCTGTATCCAGTGCGTCCTTGATTCTCTCCAGGATGATGCGACTCAGGATTTTACTTGGCGTCGACAGGAGCATGATTCCTCGCCAGTTCTTGCAGAGTCCTAAGTCGCCCTTCTTTGGTAGTTTCACGAGGTAACCTTTCCTCCAGTCAGTAGGCACCTTTCCCTCTTTCCAGATCTTTTGCAATAATGGAGTCAGCATATCTGCCGTCGTTTCTGGGTCCGTTTTCAGTGCTTCCGAGGGTATTCCATCTGGTCCAGCTGCTTTTCCATCTTAGTGTTTTACTATGACTTCTTGATATATATATATACATTCAGTAACTCACAATGTGATCCTTATATTTCTTTTCAAATTAAGTCATTCTACTACTAAAGCAATATTTTCGAAATCTTGAAAAACTTTTAGCACCTTCGGTAAATCAGTTCACTTTGCGAAAACGTTTCTGTTATTATTTGAAATATTTAAATTATTTGATTACTGAAAAAAACGATAGACGTGTACATCAACTAATTTCTGATATTTTCATTAAAAATATTTCTATCTATGTAGGCTATGGACCAAGCATTTTTCTTGCCATTATTTGAAGCTGGTTTAGGAGATCATCGTCAACAGTATACACAGACTTCTGGAGCTTTAGAAGATTTGACTAGGAAGACATTTAACGAATTCCTAACAACTATTGAACCAGTAAGTTTAAATCACGCATGTTTTTTCCTCTCTATCGTTTATTTACAAACTTTGGCCTGGTTAGCAGTTCATTAGAAGTCTAAGCTGATGTGTTGAATATTCTATGTTAGATTAAGCATATCAGAAATCAAACACTACTGGTATAAACAAGAGGGAGAAATTTAGCTGTAGCCAAGTATTACTGAGTTTTGGGATTTTGTTGTTGTGATCATGGTGAAGGCCCACTATGTCATCTAGGCCTAACCAAACATTTCATCTGAGCCTTAGAGTGTTTTAAGTTTGCTTTTAGGGGATACTCATCCGGACAGGCTAGAATGCCATTTCGATTTACTTCGTTGTGCTATTAACACGGAGAATCTCTGTATCCTTAATTCAGTCATCCCACATAGATAAATTCTAAAATCTTTTCCCTGAATAAACTTAATTTTATTGTATTTAAATATACTACTCATTGGAGCATATTACTAAATAACTGAGTCATCTTGATTTGCGCTTTGTTGACATTATCTTCAAGTTAGATAAAGTACTCATTTATAGGGTAATTAGACAAACTAAATTTAGTAAGACTGGTATAGTTTGGCTAATCGATAACACTACTATTACCTTGCAAGAGTTTTAGGCGTTGTATTTATGCAGTGCGCATTTTCTTCAGTCAACATATGACTTACTTTTCTTGACAAGATGTAGAAATCAGAAATTAAGCCGCCATCATCAGGAAATCATTAAATGATTTCGTAATTATGTGATTAATAGTGATTTCATAATTTGTACAAAATGAAATTCCCCAAACATGTCGTCAGGTTTAAACTCTTCATAAAAAATATTCACGACTATTCATGGATTTTGGTTTCAGGATAGGATAGGATGAACATGTCAACTTATAAGGAAATCTAGTTACAGTTACAAACTGTTATCTGTGACAATTACATATCTCATCCAACAGTTGTACGACAATGCTGTATGCCAAGTAATCTACGACGGGAAACTCACGGAATCCTTCGAAGTGAGGACAGGAGTAAGACAACCTGGCTGACTACTGTCACCAATGATTTTCCTGATTGCAGTAGATTGGATAATGCGACAGACAGTGGGCAATGAGGAAACAGGCATAAAATGGACCAACACAAAAAATTTGGAGGATCTGGACTTCGCCGATGATATATGTCTGATTTTCCATAAACTGGAATAAATGCAAGTGAAAAGCAACAAGTTGGCAGAAGAAGCATCAAAGATACGACTTCAGGTGAACATAGAGAAAACAGTGGTGATGAAGATTCCTGGACAACACCAACAGCAATAACAACAACAGACAACAATCAGCATAAATGGGAGGAACCTGAAAGAAGCAACCTCCTTTACCTACCTTGGAAGCATCGTTTCAACTACAGGCGGACGGAACTGATGTGGATATCAAAACAAGGATCGGAAGAGCAAGGCAAGCTTTCAGTACTCTCAAGTCTGTGGAGGTCAACAGCATTCAGCGTCAAAAATAAGATCCTAATTTTTAACTCCAATGTGAAGTCAGTGCTACTTGTTATACGGATCAGAGACTTGCAGTGCGCGTCATAAAGAGCATCTCAAACAAACTACAGACCTTCATTAACAGTTGTCTTCGCTCAATACTCAAGATCAGATGGCTGGCCAGAAATGATCAGCAACAGAGAGGGATCTCTGGCAATGAGCGAACCAACACAGCAGGAACCGATTGTGCAACAAACAGGCAGGAAGAAATGGAGGTGGATTGGCCATACTCTGAGGAAACAAACCATCAAGTGACATCACTAGACAAGCCATTGCTCGAGTGGAACCCGAAAGGGAAGCGGCGAGTTGGTCGTCAGTGTGAGGGTGGGTGACTTGGAGGCAGGTGAAAACTCTAGCAGAGAGCCGAAAGCAATGGAGACGCACGACTGAAGCTCTATGTTCCTCTAGGAATTAAAGGAAATAATAATAAATAATAATAATAATTTGTGATAATCAAAACTTATTCATAATCTTTTCTTGTTAATTCATTTTTTAGGATCCATTAAAATGTCTTGAATCATCCGTATTAGTACGTAGTCAACTGCAACCTGGTATGCTTGAACCAAATTTCAGTGGTATAGCACTTAAATTGCTCAATGAATTACACCATTGGATTCGACTTGGCTTTGAACTACCACCAAATGCAGCTGATGCTTATCGACGCAGATCAGAATTACATTATTTGCATGATCTTATATTAGTTGTTGTTCGAGATTATAATCGTATTATAAATTCATTGAATGAAGATGAACGTGCATTGTTTAGAGAACGTATAAAAATTTTGGATAAAAAAATGACACCAGGTTTAATAAAATTACACTGGGCTGTTAAAGGTCTAGTTGAAATGTTTGTTAATGATTTTCGTTCACAAGCCTATAAATTACAAGTGAAAGTTGATGAATACAAATCAGCTAATGCAAATATTAAAGATAATTGTGAACAAATAGCTCAAACATTATTGATTAAACTAGAACCAAATCGTGTTTATGAAAATACAGAATTTGATGACTGTCAGGTAAGTGAACTGATGTCTCTTTTTTCCTTCAAACAGTAATAAGATCAACTATTATTATATTAGAATTTTTTGAGAAATTGGTAGAACTTAGAATTCAAGAACCACTGGATCGGGTCCCAGTAGCTCAATAGTCTACGAGCTCGCCTTGTAACCAGAAGGTCTTGGGTTCGACCCTCGGTGAGTGCGTATTGCTGAGGAGTCCCAAACTAGGACGAAACAGCTGTCCAGTACTCCCAGGTTTTCCAGTGGTTCTCTAACTGATGTCAGCTCATGATGAAATCACCCAACCAATCAAATAATAAGATGTAAAATTAATCCATTATTTGCAATTTTGTTTTGAAGGGGTATAGAAAACAAAAGTTTTATGTTTAGTGCAGTTCATTGTTTTAATCCTGTTGAAGTAATCAATGCGAAAGTGAGCCAACTTAAAAGTCACCCGCGTATTTCTTGATTGATTAATTCTTCTGTAGAGTCGAAAAAAACAACAATTTGATACTATAAAACACCATAAGACCTAACCATAAAATAGAAGAACCCGATTACAGTGTATCCTGTAAGCAAGACTTAGATTAATTAAAAAATAGAAAACTATACCTTTTTCACAACTTTAAATGGAGATAATGGTCATAATAACAATAATAGAGGGGATAAAGTGCAGTGAAATAAAATCAACCAGAAAGAACTTAATTAGGGTCAAAGTAAGGAAACGTGGATTTTACGTGGAGTTTTGTCTATAGGCAATACTTCAGCTACACATAAGTGATCAAAACATAAACACTCTGGGGTGGGGGTGACAGATAACTTCGAAAGTTGGTCAATCATGGGGAACCCAAATTATCTGACTAAAAAGTTATGAGCTAATAGAAACTTTGTCATTTTATGTTCATCACGCATCCATCGAACTGGACAATGTTGAACAACACGTTTCCAGAAAAGTTGTTTATAGTGTCTAGTGTAACCAGCCTCACATATTTACTTGAAATCGCAGGATCACATGGATCCGAGAATAAGTAGTAGTTTATCTAATAAGTAATACTGCTTAACTATTATTTAATATATATTTTTACATATATATATATAACTACTTTTTAATTCCTTTGGGTTTCGAATAAGACTTAAGACTTGAAGTTTGAGCTTTGAAGTTTCATTAGCTATGGTGTTTTTTTTTCGCGGGGTATGATTGCTGGCCTTACGTTCACCTATACCTCTTTTCACGGTTTACAACCATCCAAGAGAGGTTTATGAGTGAGTCGACCGGGAATCGATCCTCGGATCATGCTTATGGTTAGCGAGCATTCTACAACTGAACCACTGATGTTGGTAACTATGTTTTGATGAAATATAATCCAGAACAGTGAACTTATCAAACATGACAACAACCAAGTCACATATGTTTCATATGGCAATAATGTTAATAGGAGGTAATCTGATTGCATATGATAACGACAAATAATTGATTATGTATCAAACGCACTTTTCCTGCAGCTGACTTGCAACTAGTTTTTACCAGCCGAAATATGATTAGACAATGCGTCAAGGATAGATTACCGCTTATGTCCACATCTATGTGCATTTACTCTTTTACCTGCTCCTGTGGAGCTGATTATATTGGACGTTGTAAGCGTACTCTCCGAAAACGTGTTGCTGAACACTATCCGGTTTGGTCAGTGAAAGGCGAACGTAGAACTGCGAAGTCGTCTATTTGTGATCACCTGTTAGAGTCATGTCATTCAGCCCCACATGATTCATCCTTCAAGGTTATCTACATGGCAAAATCGAATCACTCCAAAAGTTTACGTTTTCTTCACTTGTGCATAGCCGAAGCTTTAGCTATACATGAACAGAAACCTAAATTATGTGTTCAAAAACGTTTTGTCAAACCCCTTTCTTTACCTTGGTCATAGTATTTACTTTATTTTATTTTACCACTTGAATTCTTTCCACTTCACTTCATATCTTCATTGTCATCGTAATCGTACTCCTAATTTTTAAAACTTTTAGACAACACTGGACATTTAAAAGAAAATTTTGATATCAATTCACTTATAAAACAATCGTTAATAATTTTGTAATTCATCCACTTCAACTCTACCCCTAATAACATTTTAATTATCGTTATTCTTTACTGCGTCGGTGGCACAGTGGCTAGGACTCTCACCGACCATGCACATGTTCCGGGATTCCATCCCCTGCCGACGCACACCTGATATTAATGGTCGGCCTGGAAAATTTGGGCTACCGATATCACATGCTGAAAATTCCATACCTGTACCAAAAATGCGGTGTGGAATCAAGCTGTAATAAAAATAAAAATATATATATGTATATTGATTGAGCAATTATTTAGTGCCACTTAATAACTTTTTCTGTAATATAAATATGACTGTACAGCTTGAAAATGAAGTCGTTGAAAAGAAATTTCTTCGCTGAACAAAAAAACTGTGATTATGTATTTCACCAGAAATGCTTCACTTTGAGTACAAAGAGTGTAACTCTAAGAATATATGAAAGGTCCTGTCCACCAGTTTTCACTAGTTAACATATGTTTATATCGACTAATTTCTTGAATTAAGGATTTTTATAACTATTCATCTAATACATATGAACTGTGATCAAGATTTGACCGGATAGTTGCAAAATAATTGAGCTGAGATTTTACAAATATAATTTTATAAATATTCATCCAATAATTTTAACAAGTTTTGAATGACTTCTGTTGTGAAGTCATAGTGAGTTCAACCTTCCAACCGATATCAAGATCTCACTCCAGCACTTCGAATCAACAGTAGGAAATAACACACATTATTATGAGGCAACGAATACGCATAGTATATATTATATTCAAATCGATGAAGATACGGAACTGTAACAAGGCGCTTAGCCCTAAAGTATTCGAAATGGATTTACAATTGCTAAAAGTAGGAAGTTAATATCCACGTACGTAAATAAGGGTACAATAGAAGTAAATTACGAAGTTTAATTTTAATAATTTTATGTAATAATTCAGATAATTTTCATCTTAATTCTCTTAATTTAAAAACTGGATACAACTTTAGTCTGAACATAGAAGAATAACAAAAGAAAAACTTATTGCGATGCATGAAGAAATTGTTGAAAAATTGCGTGAAGTGAAAGAAACATTTGTTTCTGAAAGTGCTGATATTCAAATGCATTGGACAAAGTAAGATTTATTGAGGTTATATTGTGATTTATTTTTAAAACAATTAGTTCCCTTTATGAATTGAGACAAGCAATAAGAAGACGTAATTTGTTTGAATCGTGTAATGTGTATTTGCGAAACACATTTCGAACAATATGACCACATACCGACTTGTCATAGGAATACATATGAAATTAATTAATAAAGAGATAACAGGTGAGAAAATAGACTTAGGTCAAGTTAAAAGGACATATTGAAGGTGAAAATATCAATGAAGATCACTAAACCAAATAGCAGAGGTAATAGTGCATCTGCTATGGTATCAAAACAAAGTTTATCAACGAAGGTTTAGTGTGATGCTGAATTGTTTTTGAACGCATAAAGGTAGTTTAAACTTTCTAATTTCTAGGGCTTCCACAAACTCTAGAATATCCCTCAAACACGTTTTATAGATATGTTTAAAAGACGTGTGAACAATAATTTTATGTCCTGTTTCTATGATATGTTTCGCAATAGAGAAGCTAGGTCGCCTGTGCTCAACATTAATGAGTTCTGGGGATTCTACTTGCTTCTGAAGCTATTTAGGAATATGCTCTGAAGCCCTTACTTGCAGAGATCGATGAGTCCTCCCTACGTGTGTGTGGCCACACGCACATTCAAATTGGTAAATACAGTGGGATGTGACGTCATTTTTCGCATGTCCGAAGGGCTTAGATAGATATATTGGCTTCACATTCTCAATTGTTATGATATTAGCTGCATAAAAAGTCTTTTTAACAGCAGCGTTCAATCTTTGTTTAGTTGTCACCCATATAGGGTAGCTTGATGTATACGTCTTTCTTGGCGACCAGCTGGAGAGAAGTTATTGGTGTTCTGACCACTTTATATCTCCTAATTAACTTGTCTGGATAATTATTATCAACCAGAGTTTGTGTCAACTTTCTTTCTTCCTCACCAAGTGTGTCTTCGGAGCATATTCGTTGGATTCTACTGAAGAGGCACCTTACTAAGGCTTTTTTGTACTGAACAGGGCAGAAACTGTGATAATTAAGATACTGTCCTGTCCAGGTAGGTCTTCTTTAAATAGGTCGTTTTATTGACCCTTCAGGCCGTCGACTAAGCAATATATATAGGAAAGATAAACAATTATCTTCCTCTTCTACAGACGTAATTGAGCTTCATTCATTCGATTTAAAATTGAGGTGACAGAACAAGACTTATCAATTATGATTACAATGTCGTCTACCTACCCTCTATAAAGTGGCACATTTTCGATTAAATCCTTCCATCGACTCTCTATGTACGACATATAGATAACGAATAAAAGGGACCCTAATGGATTTCCCAATCTGACGGAAACAATAGCCTTCAAACGTAACCTTAACATTGCTGGTACATAGAACTAATAAATCCCTTAAATAAGATATAGGGAACGGGATGAAAAAATTGTTTGTGGAAATGTAGTCACACAAAATGTCAATTGTTTCAGACAGATTACGTCTTTTTATTGCTTTGTCTAAATTGTTATTTTTGTTGAGAAATATCGGATTTTAATGATAAACATCATATGTGCAATCTAACCAATCTGATTTACTCTAAACACGATTGATCAAAACGAGAATTCACCAATGACTTTCATAAAGTGCTGTTTAAATAATGTACTCATATTTCAAAGTTTAACATAATGACATAAAGTAGGCAATGTGATTAAAAGAACATCTGTCAAAATCGTGTATTCTCCATTGTGACACCGTCATATATGAGCTTCTTTTCATTCATATTTTAGCTGTTATGAAGTCTATGAAAAGTTATCTTTCAAATTTTTCTTAAAAATAGGATTTTCTACCTATTTTTGAAATTATCTTTAATTTCTAAGTGAGGGTTTTGCAGGCATTTGCCTGATTTCAAGTTTTTGATCAAGGACTGAATTCATCTGGAGAACCATCGAAAACCACAAAGTATTATGCAGCTGTTTCTTTCTTGCCCGGGGCTCTTCAGAATGATGTATCGGTGACCTCGCCAGAGATAGAATCCACTACCTTCAGGTTAAAAGGCGAGCTCGACGACATATCATCTACTGGGATGGAATCCAATAGCCCTTCAATTCTAAATTCTTAAAACACTTGTAGGAATCTTTAGAAGACAGATAATGAAATTCAGGTAGACAACTTATGAAGTATAACAATAAGATACTGACAGCAGATTTGATAGCTTGGTTTATTTTACGAAACATCATTGTGCATCTTAAGGAAGATCAAACAAAAACTTCCCTGACATTATTGAACATTTAACCTAATATACATGCGTCGGTGGCATAGCGGTTAGGACGCTCGCCGACCATGCACATGGCCTGGGGTTCGATCCCCGGCCGGCGCACTCCTTTACCTCGCTAAGCCCGAAATAATGCTGGTAAAGAGGAAAGGTTGGGCATGAGGCTACCAACCCAATCCTGTAAAATAAACACTGCTACAAAAACTTCAAGTCACTAGCTTGAAGCCTTATGTTCCACTGAGGAACGTGAAAAAAAAAGAAAGTGGAAAGGGATTCAAACTAAGGGATAGGCGCTAAAGCGAATGACTGATAGTTTCTTCGTGAGTAAGATAGAATACTAAAAATATCCATCGACAGAAAGCCAACAAGGAACAGACCACTAACTTTCTCTCACAGTTGGCTGCCAATATACATATAAAATGAAACCTGATCCGTCCACTGAGCCACAGAATGCGCAGCATTTGCAGCCCTGATACTTTGGAAGAGGAGTTGAACACTGTGAAAAGAATCCTCTTCGAAAATGGCTACCCAGAACGTCTCATCACTAAGTCCATGAAGCCTAAACCACTGAGATTCCCCCCACTTT